TATATATATATGCATAAAATTAAGAAAGTTTTATTAGTAATAAATAAAGAAAATAAACAAACAAATTAGAACTTGGTCAGAGTTGGGGGTGACAAAATCAACTCAAATCCATTTAGAGAAAATAGCCAAATTCCCCCCTAAACTATATTCGGGATTCCAACTACACTTCAATTTCACAGGGGTCCTATCAACCTCTTGAACTGTTTAAAATTGAAATTATTATCTCTTCAAACGCTTACCTACAAAGTGAGTGTATTTCTCTCTTTAAGAGAGTGAAGACCAAAAACAAATATCAAAATATTATTACTAATATTTTTTCATTTTAAATTATTTTTATATCTTTTAATTTGTTTTCTTTGTAGTAACGTGATACAATATCTATGAAAAGCACCAAATTTCATCATTATTCACCATTTTAAAATCAACATCATCACTACGTCAATCGATAGACCACAAATCGTATATAGCAATTTCACCCAACACTCTTCACAATCAAGAATTATGTACCTAAAATCTATCAAATTAAAGCAAAATTAAGCTTGAATGAGGACACCCAACTGATTTTCTTCAATAAACTTTGAATACTAAGAATTTTTTTTGTAACACCTCGGATTTGGAAAGGAAGGAAAATGCAGTTTTTGGGCTGGTGTCTATGTGTACGGGTCTCATCTACGGGCCGTAGATGGCAACCGTAGGAACTGAGGAAAATAAAATTTTGAAATCAAGTCCCAATACCCTTTTTACGATTCACCAAGACGGTTCGTCAATCTTTGTACGAGTCGTAGATAGGTCTCGTAGGTGAGTCCTAGACTTAGTGAAATTTTGAGGATCAAAGTTGGTTTCTACTGTTGGCATGTACAGACTATAGGACGACCTATGAACCGTACATGGTTTCCGTCAAAAGATGGTTAAATGAAGGGTCACAGTAACCTATCTACGGTTGACCGGTATAGTCCGTAAAAGGACCTACAGACTATAGATAAGGCTCAACAATTATTTTAAAGGGGTATTGGGTCTTTTCCTAATTATTTTAACCCAATATTACGTCGTTTTACCTTCTACTCTAGGCCCTATATAAACATTTTAAGTCCCCAATTAACCCATTTTCAACTCATTCTCCTAAATTCCCTAAATTTGACCAAATTCATTTTTCCAAATTCTCTCAAGTCTAAGGAGGAAGAAGGAGAAGGAGAAGGAGAAGGAGAAGGAGAAGAAGAAGGAGAAGGAGAAGAAGAAGAAGGGTTCCAATCAAGTCTCCAAATTCTCCATTTTCTTCGGCTTAAAAGATCAAGGTATGTATGTATTCACCCATGGAGTCCTTTCCTCCATGGGTCCCTAAGTATTTCAATTTCTCAACTCAATTTCCAATAGATCAAATTAGGGTTGTATTTCAATAAATGTGGGTTTCATTCAATTATGATCAATTATGGTTAATTATGTATTCTAATGCATTATTTGATGTGCCATCCAGAGGAACCGCTCCTCGGCAGTACTTAATATATGATATTTAGCTGAAATTGCATCTACCCATGCCTAAATTATGCTTTTCAACCATGATTCTATGATAAACCTTTGAACTATGAATTACGAAGTTACGAAGATATGCATGTTTTCATGAAGTTATTGTAAATGAATTGATGATTCTTTAAAAGGAAAGTATTGATGTTATTTTGAAAGGATTTCTCACTTACTATGATGATCATGATTGTGAAAGGTATTCTCACAAATGAATTCACATTGGTGAAAGGTTTTCTCATCTATGTTGAATTAGGTTTAAGGAGTTATTCTATGTTTTGATCTTCAAATATATGGATTGGAATTGATTATTGCCTTTCCTATGTTAAAATAATATTTGACTTTTATTCATTCCGTTGGGATTTAGACTTAGCACCGAGAGGGCTTTGAGGTGGAGGCTCAAATAGGGTAGTCTCTAGTAGCAACCTCTAGTCCCAAACAACGTGACCCTGTAGGATTGTCTTAACTGACCTAACTAGTGGATCGACTTTAGAAAATGATGATATGTACGGATTCTACCTTGACAAGTAGTTTCCCCCACTTTCGGTATGAGGGATATACCGGATTCCATGATATAACTCTGATGGTCATATTGTCGGTTAAAGCTAATATCACACAAAATGAGTAAGTGTTTTTCAAAGCTTTTCTTATGGCATTTATGTTAATATACATGACCATGCTTTCATGATTTTCATGTCATATCTTCTTTAAAGTTTTTAAATGTCCCATTATGATCATGCCTACTCGTTTTAAGTTACTTATGTTATCATGCCTATGTTTATGCATATTGCCTCATGCTTAGTATATTTCATGTACTAATGCATACTTGTGCCTACATTTTTTCACTAATGTAGGGTCCGATGCTTCTATTCTCCATACTCGTGGCTAGTTGAATCTTTTGGGCATTTGAAGATTGGTGTGTCCTCATGATCTGAGAGCTAAGAGTCTTTTATTGCTTTCATGTCATTTACATTTCAAACTTTGTATGTGATGTATGGGTTACGTCCCAGTCACTTTCCTTATGATGTAATAGATGACTTTGAGACTTATGTTTAGACTTCCGTTTTTGTCAAACTCTTTTCTATGAAATGTTACCTTTTAAACTCTTTTGTTTCTATTATCTTGTATGATGTATGTTAAGTGGCTTGTGTAGGGCCTCTCGGGGTCTTATATGCCATGTCACGTTTAGGGTTTACTTTGGGTCGTGACAAACTTAGTATCAGAGCACAAGACTTAGAAAGGTCCTAGGATGTCTCATAAGCCACGTCGAGTAGAGTCATGTTCATGAGTGTGAAGTGCGTCATATTTATGAATGAGAGGCTATAATATGTTTAGGAAACTTCACTTCTTTCTTTACTCTAAAGTTGTGCGATGAATTTTAACTTTATATGTCCCTTTCCTAATCCCAATTCGATGCTTTTTAGGATATGACCCCTCGAAGAGCATACATTAAAAGAAATGTAGGTGAGAATGTGGAACGAGAAGCTCTTCAAGAAGCTCCACAACTTTCGGCTGATCCTTTGGCCAAACAAGTGAATAATGTGGAGTTTAGGTCTGCTTTTCAAGTATTGGCTCAAGCCATGACGACTCAAGCCAACAGGGAGGTTGTGGTCCCCGTGAACCCAAATGTGGGTACAGCGGCAACTAGAGTGAGAAACTTCACTAGGATGAATCCTATGGAGTTTAATGGTTCCAAGGTTGAGGAAGATCCTCAAGAGTTCATTGATGAGGTATACAAGGTGTTAATGATCATGGGAGTGACACCGATGGAAAATGCGAAATTAGCCACTTATCAACAGAAATTGACGAGTTCTTAACTTTAATCAATGAATTAGGTAACGAACCAAAATCGAGTTTAAATTTGAAGGGTCTTTCTTTATTTTCAGACCAAGAACAGGGTGTTGCTCAAGTTTGGTTCAACCAATGGAAGGAAAAGAGGGTGGTTGATGCAGGACCTTTTGATTGGAAAAGTTTAAGGGTGCTTTCCATGATAGGTTCTTTCCCCTTGAGATGAGGAGGCCAAGGTACTTGAATTTAGTAACCTTCGTCAAGGAAATATGAGTGTGAAGGAGTATGTCTTGAAGTTCACACAATTGTCTAGGTATGATCCTACTATGGTTGCCGACTCTAGGGCATAGATGAGCAAATTCGTCTCGAGTGTGTCCGAAATGATGGTTAAGAAATGTCGTACCGCCATGCTCATTAAGGAAATGGACATTTATCGTCTAATGATTCATGTTCAACAAATCGAAGAGGAGAAACTTAAGGAAAAGTCTAGGGAGGCAAAGAGGGCAAAGACCGGTGATGGTGACTTTTCACATTCAAGGTCTGATGGACATGGTCGTTC